TCTCAGTGTGACGCCCAGTGTCCCTGTCAGCCTTGTGTTATTATTACCTCAGTGTCAATATTAACGCCCTGGAAAACACTACCGATCTCAGTGTGACGCCCAGTGTCCCTGTCAGCGTTGTGCTATTATTACCTCAGTGTGAATATTATCGCCCTCGAAGACACTACCGACCTCAGTGTGACGCCCAGTGTCCCTGTCAGCGTTGTGCTATTATTACCTCAATGTGAATATTATCGCCCTCGAAGACACTACCGACCTTAGTGTGACGCCCAGTGTCCCTGTCAGCGTTGTGCTATTATTACCTCAGTGTGAATATTAACGCCCTGGAAAACACTACCGACCACAGTGTGACGCCCAGTGTCCCTGTCAGCGTTGTGCTATTATTACCTCAATGTGAATATTAACGCCCTGGAAAACACTACCGATCTCAGTGTGACGCCCAGTGTCCCTGTCAGCCTTGTGTTATTATTACCTCAGTGTCAATATTAACGCCCTGGAAAACACTACCGATCTCAGTGTGACGCCCAGTGTCCCTGTCAGCGTTGTGCTATTATTACCTCAATGTGAATATTAACGCACAGATTGACTACAGTACTCCGTGATATATGTAGTGTTGCCAGGCAACGGTCATTGTTACATAACCAATACTGTGAAATAAACCAACTGGACAATGGTGGGAATTGAGGTGTCGACCATAAATAGTGTTACAATGATATAATTCCACTTCTTGCTTATGAATGGTCTGTCAGTGGAAACATAATCACTTACAATTGGGTAGGGTACAGCATAATCTTACCGGGGGATGCTATAAGAAATTTAGTACAACATTCAGGAGACGGCAATAAGTAATCGAATGTGAAATATTTTCAGTAGAATTACTATAATAAAGGGAAGGCAATAAGTAATTTAGCGTAAATATTTCGATGGTATTACTGTAATAATGGGGTGGGACGACTAATCTGGCGTACAGTATTAGCTACGTGCGATTACATTATTATCATGATAATAATTACACAGCCTGTTATCCTCGTTCACGGGTACTTAATTTCAACAAAATGACTACTTAATCGAAGAATAGATTAATTAATTCTAATATAAACATGCATGGCTGGTACTTTCGGATTAAGTAATTAAAACTACACTAGTATATCATGTTCACATTCGACCGTTGAAGATTGACGTTTAATATAGAAGTATTAGTATAGTCGTGCGGACATCAATCGCCACCAGCGCTCACATGCTCAATTCTCACTCATTTAATACGTCAAGAAACCCGATGAAAATGTTTTTGTAAAATATTTGTGTTTTTTATTAAAATCTTTTGAGAGCGGATACTAATTCTAACTAATACTAATTCGCCATATTTCCTAAAAGAGAGTATTTTCATCGAAATTGTTTGAAATAGATATAGGTGTACTGGCAATTGAGAGACTGTGTTTATTCCAGCGACAAAAACTATTAGCAATGTGACGGCGGTCAGTAGGTATTAATGGCCGTGATGACGCACAGTGACGTAATATAACCGTTGACACTTTACGTATTGCGTCAATGATTGAATCGTCACCATGTTGGAAAGTCAAGTCGCTGTCAGTTGCACCGATGTGACTGACGTCAATGGAAATATTGAGGGGAGGGTGGGAATCCACTCTTCCAGAATTCATATAGTCTATATTGATTATATTACAATACTACCAAATAAAGACAAATATTATGAGATACGTTAATATAAAAAAATAAACCAAACCAATTCTTTTGACTTCGATATCAAAGAAGGGTTCCTTATAAGAAGGTGTGATATTAGTCTGACTGGGCCAAATTGTTATATTGATGTTTAATATTGTATTTCAATTTCTATGTTGGTAAAGGAATGGTATATGCACTTCACTAACATTTTACGATCATTTGATTTGAGCGTGAGATATACTAGTACATCGTTTCAAAACCCCACCTGCAACGTGTTTTCGTTTTAAAATGTACACACTACTTCAATAATCCATATGATGATTTAAAAAGCTATGTTTTTTGCTCTCGCTGTAACGTGTGTCAATAGAGTAACCCGTTACGCCCCCTGTACCGCGCACAAATACACCCATTTACAATCAAAGCAATGGTCAGCTGTTACCGTAAAAATCCCTTCTCCTGTTTGTCATCGAGGCAACACGTGTTGCAGTTCTCTTTTAAAGCTTTAAAAAGATCGTTACTCACCGAGAAGCAAAACATTGAATGCAAAGGCAGAGTCGTAGCAACTCTGTCCATTCTCATTAACTCGGCCACAGTGTTTTGAGTTGCGCCGTGCTATATCTGTGTGATCCGTCCTCACGCCACCGAAAAGACAATAAGGTAAGATTTGTTTATTTATTTGTGTTTGTCGTTTCAGTCTGATGTTAATAGTAAGTACTTTTTTATTTTCAGTCTAATATGGCATTTTATTGGCATGTTTTTGAAAACAGTGTTCTATTCTTATTTACATTGACGATGACGTGCAACAAGTGTTTGAGTCACATTAAACGAAATTGAATGCTTGCCTTCCCTAATTGTTATTAAATGTAATAGTTAAACAAAACTTCACAAAACTTCAAATGCACACAGTTTGGTCGTCAGTGAACGATAATGACATATAACAAATTTTATCATTAGCTCAGCGTTTAAATTATGACATCTAAGTTGAAAAATTAGCGTACATAAAAATCATAGCTGTTACACTACTGACGATGTTAGTTTTAGAAGATTTAAAAAACGTTTAAAGCCAGTGATGGCGTTTGTTATCTCGATAATTTAACATTTAACTCGACATAGACAACAACTCGCATTGTATTTTTTTAAGTCGCGACACTTATGAAATGCCGGTGATAATAATGTACAAAATACGTCACGCACCTAAATGCATGATTTTAGTTTTATCACCGCAATTAACATCGCGGCCACATTTGATATGCAGCTCACGACCATGATGATTGTTACCTATTATGTAAAACGCGACAGCATTCGTCGGATTTATTTGCGGCCTTTCAACAGATAATTAATCAGACTTTGCGTCATTTTAATGGCCGAAAAAAACACCACAAAACTACACACATGAGACACTATTATTTACGTACAACATATTTTCATATTTTCACATTATCATTTCCGAACAAAAAATTACGCGTACGGCTGTATCATTTTATTTTACGAGGAAGGTCGATTGTAGCAATTGCAACTATAATACGGTAAAAATATCTAACCCTTCATGCTGGCGAGGGTTTCATGCAAAAAACACTAATCACGACTCGGTTTGGGGTTAGGAGCCTGCGTCAATATAATCCATGTCGATGGTCGTAAAGTCAGTGCATCGATGCGAATCGAGGAAACAGTTGTTTAATTGAGAAAGGATAAACGCTTGGGCGTCAGCAAGTTAGTGGGCCCATGGGACGACAGGCACATAGTTATCGCTACTAATAACTACTCTATGCCTTATACGGCATGTGTGAACGATTAAACATTTAAAGTGTAACATCTTGCTTTAGACTAAAATCGTTAGTCACATTAATATTATTCAACATTCTTAAAAAATAATATTGCAATAAAAACACATTCCCTCTTAATCTTATCGTTAAATTTAATGGATTAATCACCAGCTTCGCGCGTTCTGTTGACATGTTTGCTGGGAAGGCGTGGTCTTTTAACTACATTTATAGACAGTTATGATTTTATTCAAAAACCCAGTCTACAGAGATTAAAACACAAATACCAGAATATTAAAATTTACTAATTTCGTTTTTGTTTTATATTTAGGTAAGATGAACGTGTTCCATTACCGCCATGCTCCCCCACCGCTTCAAATGTGTTCTACAGTTGGGTGTGCCGACACATGCAAGAGACCACCGCAGCTTATCATTCCAAAGATACCGCTAAGAATTATGGGAATACCCCGACTACCCGAACGACCACCATTGCCGGCGCCGGCAATCACAAAACATCTTCAAGTTGGCGAAGTCGACAAAACCTTCGAGGAACATCTGTTCGAGCTGATACGTCGACGGGTCATGTACACACGTGGCAAAATAAGCAGCCACTACAAATGTGAAGGATGCGAGAAAAGTTTCACCAATTTGTCGACATTGACTCGGCATCGACGAATCCATACCGGCGAGCGGCCATACCAATGCGACGTTTGTGAGAAGGCCTTCACCCGGTTAGATTATCTTCAAGCCCATCGCCGCATCCACAGCAAGGAGAAGCCATACAGATGCAATATTTGCGAAAAGACTTTTACCAATCCTTCGAATTTGCAACGCCATTCCAGAACTCATACAGGTGAGCGGCCGTACAAGTGCGACGCCTGCGACAAGACGTTCACTCAACCAGCACACTTACGATCACACCGAAGAATACATAACGGCGAGAAGCCTTACACTTGCAAAATGTGTGAGAAGACCTTCACGTTTCCGTCTAACTTGCAACGGCACTGGAAAATCCACACAGGGGAACGTCCTTACCAATGCGATGTTTGCGGGAAAAAGTTTATTCAACTGGCCCACCTGCAGTCGCACACGCGAATTCATACCGGAGAGAAACCACTGCAGTGCGACCTCTGCGGTAAACGATTTGCCCACTACGGCTCGCTAAAATACCACAAAACGAAACACGGCAGTGCATGTACAACGCGGCCCATTCAAAATACGGCGTTTGACAAAGAAATTGACGACGAACATGAAGCAGATGAGCACAGAATGGAAGACGATATCGACGTGGAGGAAGATTAGACGTTACGTGTAGATATTAAAACCGCGCCCCTGTGCTGTCAAATCCATACATCTGAACTAAATAGAGATGACGGTCCACGCGATGTGCAGTTATTCTGCTTTCAATCCCACCCAATTCAATATAAACATCAATTATATACAATTAACAATATTCCTCAATTTTATTTTTTTGTTCCTTAGATTTTTTTAATAATAATGTCAGTTGGATATTTTTGCTCAGTTCTTCCCACATTGCAGACACGCACGCTTGGTGAGACACGCACACTTGGCGAGAAATTGAATCGTCTACAACTTTAATTAGTGTGTATATGGGACTAACTTATATGTCAGATAAAAAAAAAAAGATTTGTTTCTGGTCCAAAGCCTCACCAAAAAAAACACCAAACCGAACAAACGAAGCCGTTATGCGATTTTTTTCTTTTGTTATGAAACAACAACAAGATGACGCGCGCCGACCAGAGATAGAACTGATTTTTATTTTGGCCTAATATTATGTTTGCCAATGGTGTTCCTATACTTGTGTTCCAACAGTGTATATACAAATTCGGGTTATTAATAAATTATGTTACCATACATATGATCTTTTATGATACCTCAGTCTATGTTGTATTATATTTACTCTGCACGGGTTTATGTCGATGCATGTATTGTCAGAACTAATTTAAATACACACATATATATTAAATAATCTTTGATGAAATATATTGTTGCTCCATTTTAATGTGCAATTTGATTTAGCCTTCAAAACGGTCAATAATGAAGTCACCGTCACAAAACTATCTAAACATAGTGTCTACAAAATGACCGTTGACAGTTGTTACGCTGTTTTCGAAATTTGAAAATTAATGATAATTTCCCGGGAATCAAAATTAAAAACTACTACACTTTGCCCAAATATTACATGCCGGCCCATTCAACACGTCGTTTGCGTATCACCCATCCATATATCCCAGGGTAGGGTGAACTTTACCCCCCCCCCCCCGAACAATGCCGTTACTATAAGTCACGCCCTCTATTGACGACGCGCTACGTAACGTAAATGCTTATAAGGGCGGCGTTTAATTATGATGGTGTATAATCAATAGGACCCATCAAATAAAAAAAAAAAGCACGAACGGAAACGAATCTTCGCACATTTACCAAGGTAATGTCAACGAGAAATGGTCATGAATTTTAATAATGAGCATTAGGGTATCGGTGAGATGGAAGTATGATACCTCCGCTCAGTCATGTGATTAGCGTTTTCATATTCCTATCTTGTGTATCGAAAACGAGTTGGGAACGAGTGTGGGGTTAATGCGATGCCGCTGCCAACCCGTACTCTGTGTGACAAATAATGAGACATCTAAACTTATCTGGTGAAAGTCAAATTTAAACACAAAGTAATCACGGTAAGCAATCCAACAAAACAGTATTTTTGTAAATAATATTTGTTATTATATCTGTCATCGTAACGCGTTAAGTTAAAGCGTGTCGCAAGTTACCACCGTAATCGTCCTCTGCGCGTCGGTCGATACTTTCGCTGTACTGTCTTCGTGCATACTTTGCAGTATCCTCGTAATAACCTCATATTCATTTATAGCAAAGGAACTACTAGCAGATCTTAATCAGTGTTAGGTGAACTTCCTAGATGAGTATACTGTAATCCGGGTCATAATCAGTGTTAGGTGAACTTCCTAGATGAGTATACTGTAATCCGTATCTTAATCAGTGTTAGGTGAACTTCCTAGATGAGTATACGGTATTCCGTATCTTAATCAGTGTTAGGTGAACTTCCTAGATGAGTATACTGTAATCCGGGTCATAATCAGTGTTAGGCGAACTTCCTAGATGAGTATACTGTAATCCGTATCTTAATCAGTGTTAGGTGAACTCCCTAGATGAGTATACTGTAATCCGTATCTTAATCAGTGTTAGGTGAACTTCCTAGATGAGTATACTGTAATCCGTGTCTTAATCAGTGTTAGGTGAACTTCCTAGATGAGTATACTGTAATCCGTATCTTAATCAGTGTTAGGTGAACTTCCTAGATGAGTATACTGTAATCCGTATCTTAATCAGTGTTAGGTGAACTTCCTAGATGAGTATACTGTAATCCGTGTCTTAATCAGTGTTAGGTGAACTTCCTAGATGAGTATACTGTAATCCGGGTCAGTGTTAGATGGGGTTCAAGTTGGTGGGTGCATTATATTTCTTGTCGCGTGCATGTTTTGCATTTACAGAAACACCTTCGCCGTGTGTAGGTGGCTTCTTAATGTAATTACACTAATGTCTCGGAAGATTCTGTATTTGCACGAGGGACACTTGGACACGCTTTACATCGATTGAATATATCACTCCGCTTGTTAAATGACATGATCCTCGTTATGAACACCACAGCGACTGTGGTTGTATGCACAATGCCATATGCTTATTGATATGCAAGTAAGGATGTTGGTGGGAAACAAGCAAGACCAGGAAAATCACTAAAAATAACATTAAACTATACGATTATAGATAGATTATCATTATTTTGTAATAATCTGGTAATTGCGCACTTTGTTCGTAACAGGAGCCCATACTGGCATTGTCTCGGTGCAGAATTCGTTGACTTATCGCATATGTTTTACTTGGAATATTCTCTTCCGAACCATTGTGCAACCCAGCCCCATCGGCGCCAACGATTAGTAACGAATGCTTGTGTGCACCATTGATCTCGATATGAATACAGATTGTTGTATTGATATTTCGGAGATGTGTCTTGTCGAAAGTCATATCTGTAATTGAGTGAGTATCAATTTAAAAAGAAATAATTCGCGCTATTTAAACCCGCTAAGGAGCCACTAAGAACTTCTATTTGATAATCAATATATATTGAGCATGTTGCTGAATGGTGCATTTAGGACTCCATTGTGCATAACGAATATATCAGACGGTCGCACTTACTACTAGTATTTCATTCGACATAAAAGCATATGGCGCCTTTAAATAAACCGCCTATAATTATTAGAAATAACTAAATATATGGTTAACTAGCATTAAATTAATATAATACGTATTCACACATTTACTAGAGATAGGATATGTTCCCGCCCAGCAAAAACTGACGAGCGGGTACTTGTTTTGAAGTCCATAATCTCCCATCAATGAGACAGTATAGTGTAACACATTGCACTTCCATTCACACTGACAATTTTATTCCATTTTAAAACATATCTGTGCTTACGTGCGCATGACAGTCGCGCCGGTTAATATAACGCTGGTTCGATTTGGCAACTCATATTTACATTTTCCGTAACCGGTTCTTTTTCTTATTTGCCACTGACCCTTGTGACGAATCAACGTGTTTGTAAAAAAAAAAATAACTACTAGTATATCGAGTAAGGTCAGTATCGTAATAAATAGCTAGGATGTGAACGTAGCGTCACTCATCGGCATTAAAATACATAACACCCCTACTCGTTATATGGGATTTGTTTGTTCGCATTGCCATTTAAAAAGCACAATTTGATACCGCACACAGCTGTGCACTAAGCTCACAACCATGCCGATGCCGACATGAAAAAGATCCCATCTTTTGTTATCCACATTTAGTCGAATTAAAAACACCTTGCTACTACTAGTACCCCGTGATACACGCTGCAACGACAATCTTTGTTTATTTAATCGAGCGAAAATTCTAATACCTAATCCTGTTTTTATTATGGGATTTTTCCAATTGTGCATGGATAAACGGAAAAGGGGTTTAATACCAGGCGCAATTTTTTCACCACCCCGACGCACGTCGAGGTGCTGTCAAGATTACAGGCGAGCTGCAAAAAAAAAAGTACGCAGGGTGACAAAAAATGAGTATAAGAGTTAATTGAATAAGACCGCTCTATCGTTATCTCTCTCACACTCTCATGCTTGATCTCGGTATATATTGCCGGGGTTTGTGAGTTATCGCCCGACACACTCTTGTATTAAACACGTATTTACCTATGAGATTTGTCGTAACCAACAGATACAGTATATCACACGTATTACGTGATGTGATGACGTACTGGTAATTGTCTAGTATAAAACCAATTACGAGTTTTTGAAATTGGGAAGGCATATAATGTACTTGTTCTATTCGAAGCGAGTATCAATAAAGTTGCTATTATAATACGCGTGGTCGTAGGTAGCACCGCGATGTGTTCGATATGGGTATCCTAGCTACAACGAGTGTAAAATAACGTGAAGTGCATCTATTACTGCACAGTATTCAACTACGCAAAGTGTATTTGTAGCTAATTTAGATAATCATTAATTTCACTAATTCAAGATGAAAGCAAATAAAAAAATAACCTCACAATCATATTGTTGGCACTTTTGATAATTGTTATCGTAGGGACGAACATATCCCGCCAAAATAACGGTGAATAATGTTTATGTATTTTTTTTACAATTTCCTAGTTAAGTTGTCAATTTATGACAACAAATATGGCAAAAACGATTTGAGTGTTTTGTGGAAGTCACAAAAGTGCACTTTTGCATTCAAAAGAATCGGACTATTAAATATGTCATTTAAAACAAATTACCAAACATAAACTCAGAGCATAAATAAAATACGGGGCTGTCCTTGACTTTTGATGTCGAATCGGACGGTGACAGGTAACATTTCAGGATTAATAATAAGAAACGAAATACAATAAATATCAGTCATGTTGTAGGAATGTTATCAATCACTGCAAGTGATCAGCGGAGTCCGGCAAACATGAAATTGAGATAAAAGCGCCCTCAGCGATATTCACATCGAAAAGTAAACCACAGTACAACCATGGACAGAATACCACCCATACGAGAACCACAGTACAAC